GTGGCCTGCCTTGCAAGTGCAAAGACCTGAGTTCAATCCCTGGTACCAGGGGAAAAAAAAAAGCAACAAAGTCTTGATATAGAGTTGGATACTTTGAAACTGCTAGAAGACAACACAGGGGAAGCTGCTCCTTGCGGTGGCTGAACACCTGTAATCTCAGTACTTGGGAGGCCGAGGCAGGAGGACTGATGTTAGTTCAAGGCCAGCCTGGGCTACATGTGAGTTTGAGGCCAGACTGAACTATATAGCGAGATCCTGTCTCAAGGGGTGTGTGTGTGGGTGTGTGTGATACATTAAATTCATTACAATTGAAGTCATATTCATAAGGAAAGAATTCTTGAATAGCTGCTCAATAACACAATAAATAATGGCAATAACAGAGCCATCCTAGTATTCAGGAGGCTGAGGCAGGAGGATTGTGTGGTTCAAGGCCAGCCTGAACTATAGTAAGACCCTATCTCAAAAAATCAAAACTGAAACAGAAATAACAGGAAGAATATTCTTCCTATTTTTTGATGTGACTACATCAAAGAAGTTTCTGCACAACCAGGGAAAACAATAAACAAAGTAAAGAGACAACCTAAGAATGGGAGGAAATCTTTGCCAATTATTCTTCCAAAAGAGGATTAATATACAGAATATACAAAGAACTCCACAACAAAAAATCTAATATGCCAACCAATAAATGGGCAAGTAAACAAACACTTCTCAAAAGCAGCAGCACAAATGGCCAAATAAGTATATGAAAAAATGTTCAACATTTTTAGCCTTAGGGAAATGCAAATCAAAATTACACTGAGGCCAGGGTGTGGTGGCACACGCCTGTAATCCCAGCACTCAGGAGGCTGAGGCAGGAGGATCGCTGTGAGTTCGAGACCAGCCTGAGCTACATAGTGAGTTCCAGGTCAGTCTCACTACATAGTGAGACCCTTGTCTCAAAAAACAAAAACAAAAACAAAAACAAAAACAAAAACAAAACTACACTGAGATTCTATCTCACCCCAGTCAGAATGGCTATCAAGAATGAATACAGGACTGGGAATTTAACTCAGTTGTTCTGCTGGCTGCCTCTCAATTGCAAGGTCCGAGTTCAATCCCTGTACCCCCTCGAGAAAGAATACATACATACATACATATTAGCAAGGATGTGGGGAGTGACATGGACTCTTCTACACCACTGGTGGAAATGTAAATTAGTGCAGCCACTATGGAAATCAGTATAGAAGTTCCTCAAAAAACTAAAAACAGAACTACCATATGATCCATCTATACCATCCTTTGCTATACACTCAAATCAGAAGTCAACATACTATATAGGGAGGCCTACATAGCCATTTTTTATTGTAGCACAATTCACAACAGCCACAATAATATGGAACAAGCCTAGGTGCCTATCAACAGAGGAATAGATAAAGAAAATGTGGTACAAACCAAGACCTGGCATGTAAAGGTACAAGATCCCAGTAATGAATGTAACTGTACTGTCTACCTAGAATGTACCAATCAATTCAATTTAAATTAAAAAAAAAAAAAAAAAAAATGGTACATGTAGAACAAAGTATGTCATCTTCAGGAAAATGAATGGAACTGTAGATAATCATGCTAAGTGTAATAAGCCAAACCCAGAAAGACAAAAGTCATGTTTTTCCTAACATACGGAATCTACAAATGATGACATTAAAGGAGAGGGGAAAGTATTATTAGAAAGAAGGGACATAAAAGGGAAGAGGGAGGAGATAAAGGATGGTAATAAGGGGAATGGAAAAGTTATTAATTATATCCTTAAGAGATCATGATGTTGAAATGAATTTATTGAGGTGAAAAGGTGTCCACTATACTTGGTTGAGTCAAACAGCAAGTTACAACAGTATATATAGCAGTGCTGACTTTTTATTTTAAAAATGCATTAACGGATAGAGATTAAGTCCTCTAGAATGCTGTTCACTTACTGTTTCAATCTGTCTCTGTGAGGTGCTAAGCATATTTTTTCTTCTTTTTTTACTTGTGCTAATATAAAATGTTTCTAAGGACATTAAGAATTGTTACTGGGGGGCCGGGAATTTAGCTCAGTGGTTCTGTCACCTGCCTCCCAAGGACCTGAGTTCGATCCCCAGTATCAAAAAAAAAAAAAGTTGTATGTGAGGTGATGACATATTAGTAAACATACAATATCTAAAAACGTTATACACCTTACATATGATTGTCAACTATACTCAATAAAAAAGATAAAAGTAAACATTCATAGCCATATTATACATAACAGCCAAAAAGTGGAAACAACCCAAATATCCATCAAATGGATAAATAAAAGGTGAGTTCCACACAGCGGAATTCAGCCATAAGAGTTATCAAGTACTGAATGGAAGTATAACATGGATGAACCTTGAAAACATGCTAACACTGAATAAAAAGGCCACATATTGTACGATTTCAGGCAAAATGTCCAGAACATGCAAATCCATGGAGTCAGAAAGTATAGTGGTTGCTAGGGGCTGGAGCCAGGGAGAACAGTTAATGATATGTTACAGATATGTCTCAGGGGCAATGGTCTAAAAGTTGATGATGGTGCAGATTAAACAAGTCTGTGAATATGATAACCAATTAACTGTACACTTTAATATAGTAAACTGTTATCACAATAAATCTCCTGTTTTAAAAATACTACATGAGGGCCAGGGATTAGCTCAGTGGTTCTGCTGCCTGCCTTTCAAGCAGCAAGGGCCGGAGTTCAATTCCCGGTACAAAAAAAAACCACTACGTGAGCTGGGCATGGTAGTGCATGCCTGTAATCCCAGCACTGGCTGAGGCAGGAGGACTGCTGTAAGTTTGAGACCAGCCTGGGCTACATAGTAAATTCCAGATAAATCTCAACTACATAGTGAGACCCTGTTTCAAAAAACAAAAAACAAAAAAACTACATGAGCCAGGGGTGGTGGTGAATGCCTGTAATCCCAGCACTTGGAAGGCTGAGGCAGGAGAATCACCAGACCAGCCTGGGCTACAAAGTGAGACACCCCCCCCCAAACAAAACACCCCACATGATTTCTGGCCACACTTTCTTATTGGGCTTTTTTCTGTCCTCTACCTCATTTTTGAGGGTCGAGATCAACAACCTCCATGCTTTTCTAACCCAGCACTGAGCACACTTCAGAAAGGTTTCTCAAGCAGTCAACTGAAGCTGAGAAGTTACTCACACTAGCTAGGTGCACACCCGTAGTCCACCTACTGGTGAGGCTGAGGCAGAAAGATCCCAGGACAGTGGCCTGTTCAG